AAGCGCCGCTATTATTATCAAATGAGATCAAGCAGCCTAATTTGTATCGCGCCCGTAAGAAGCGACAGCTATGATTTATGAAAACGCGTCGGACGTGCTAATTGCTTGTCGATGTGATATGTCGGGCGTTGTCTTTTTACATGCAAACGCGTTGCTACTTTGCAAGAAAACAGAGTGAAACAATTTTGTCGGTTGTGTGTGATGAAATATGCGGCGGTTGCTTAATTACAATACGGTACAATGAGAGAGATCCGACGCTTGTTTCTAAGGTAAGTCTCTACCGTAACGAAACAGAACGCTCGCAGTTTCATATTTCGTGTCCGTTGAAAAATAAAGCGATATTACATTTCATATATATATCTATTTGTAACTTTCAAATATTATAGCGATATTATATCCACATATTGTATATTTGTAAACGGTTTAAAAGAAAACGGTAGCATATTTTACATGTTTATTTATATTTGACGCTATTATCAAATAGACGCGTCAAATGTATTATCATGTCGCGCGAGAGTACTCGACATCTCTCTCGAATTAGTTATCTCAAACGTGTCCTCTTAGCATTTTCTCGTGACGACCCCTAGAGCTTGCTTTCGACGCTGTCATTTTCTCTCGTTCTCACGATCTTCTCGCTCATGTTGTTTCTCTTTCGATTTCACTCACACATCGTTTACCGTCTCCATCGCGTGGCGGCTCTTAAAATCATGTATTTCCGCGGCCGAGTAGGACGGACTTTTTTCTCTGTTCTTCGAGAATCTCGTTTCACCGTCTGCGGTCATCTCTCTCCGTCGGATTCTCTCTTTTCTTCTCTTTCTCGCGCGCGCGCGTTCTTTACGTCGTTCTCTCAGTCCGCTCGAGAACTCCGATGTAACAATGGCTGCCCTCTAATTATCGGAAGACCGCGGCACTTTAAAGAGAAGCCGAAAGCCCATCACGAGACTACGTTTCGTTCGCTCCTTAAAATTTCTTTTCCCCCTTTCTTTTGCTCTCTCTGTCTTTCTGTTTTTCTCTCGCGAGAGCGCGCGCGCGCTTAACTCGTCAGTAACAAAAAAAAAAAAAAAAAAACAATCAACAATCATTTCTTGTGTTAGTTTAAATTAGGTTTATCTTGTGCAACAGGCATCTGTTGCAAGTTCAGCTGTTAGTTCCTTATCAGTTTTTTAGATAGATCTTGACAATCTAAAAAAATAATAAAAATAATTAAAAGGTTTTTTTATCTTCAAGAAATTCCGTGAAATTTAGTTTAGAGAAATATAAGTATATTTGTTTATCATAGTATCATATATGTATTACAAAAATATATATTATCAAGTCAAAGATATTTAACTGTCAAGTGTGTTAATAATTATGCGTTATTATAATTAGTTTTCTTGATCATGCAAGATGTCACTGTATCGCTTTCTAGTTCTGTAGTTTCACCGATCGGTCTACGATTATCGCAATATCAGTTTGAGATGATGACGGCGCTTTCTGGTCTACAAGAAAGATCATAGAAGGGAGGAAAGCCACGCCAATACAGAGAAAATAGCGGCCATACGACGAGAAGTGCGAGTCAGAATGGGCGTAACCTAAGCAAGTTTGCTTCTACCTGTTGCACGCTGCTTCCTATTTAATACTATTAAGCGGCTCACGTTAGAAAGCTCTAGAGTTATTAATTTTAAGCTTTTAGCTTTTAATCATCAATTGAGAATGAGAGAGAGAGAGAGAGAAATCGATATAATTTTTCTATTCTCTTCTTTTTTCTTTCTTATTTCTCTCTTGCTGTAAGTAGCTTTTTTAAAAAAAAATTAATGTTCGCACTTCGAAATGGACACGTGTGTATACGTAATTTCAATGATTGCGTGTTTTCAGCTGAGAAAATGTTTATATTCATATTTCCTCTGTGGATTACTTCATTTTATTTAATTTTATTTATTTAATTTTATTTATTTAATTTACGAGATACTTTTTTTGAAAATTGGTCTGAAGGAAGAGACATGTACAATGTACAAATCGTAACCGTGCTCTTTTAGGATAATATTTTGCAAGTTTAGAACACGATTTATATCTTTAAAGATATAAAAATTTATTGCGGTTTTGCTAAACTGCCTATATTGTATCACACACTCTTTTTTTTAAGATAAACCTCTCAATTAACTTTATATTTTTCTCGTCACACTCTGCACAAAAGTGTGCCGCAGTTGTCCCGTTCAGATTTCACTTTTCTATTTCGCTTTTCTGTTTCTCTTTTGTAATATCTTATTGTGTGTTTCTATTAGCAGTTTGTATTTCGAGCAGATGTTTGCTGGGTACAATGTCTTTTCAATTGCGCGGACTAGCCAGGTTCGGCTTTCCGGCGGTATATCCTTCAAGATATTAAAAATCATAGGAAGGTTCTTTTGATATTTTAGGTACCGTGAAAAAAATGTTTATTCTATCTTCAGGACAGACGACTATCTTAAAAAGATATTAGAGAGTCAAATTTGAGAAAAAGTTTTGCAAGAATACAAATTCTAAGAATAACTTGTACAATTTATATGCAATTGCTACAACTCTTACAATTGCAATGGTTTTAATAGATTCAAGACATATATAAGAAGTTAAGAATTGTGACAATGTGCGAAAACGGTTATGCATGTAATGTAAATCAAAAAGTGTTAAAAAATGATTTTACGTCACATTCACATGACATTTTGCATTTTTTTTTCCATTCATATATATTATATGCAAAATAGAACAGTAATTTTTGTAGTATTAGCAAAATATGTGATAGTCGCCTTACTTTTTCTTTGTTCGATAGCATCGGATCGTTCGGAGTATACACCCTGGAACGACGATATCTACCTCGACGAGACCCCCTTAAAACCGAAAACATATGGCATACAATTACGACGTAATGATATATAATTAATGGAATTCGGAGACCCTCCTGGTTGTTATACGGCATGCTTGTTTCCTCGAAAAGCAAAGGGAACTGGCAAGTCCATGTAAGCAGGACTCGACAAGATCCGTCCTCTGAATAAAATTCTCATCGCATGTATACTTTGCGTATACATGTATCGGTGTCGTTCGTGTTTTGCATGCTACAAGACTATAAATGACCATAAAATTGCCAAGAGTGCAACATACTAATTTTCAATATTATGAACGTTGCTCGAGCGGCAGAACTTACCTAATTGTTATAATAGACGTAAAACGAACAGAAACATAAAAGAAAATAAACTTGTCTTTGAATGTGCAAGTCTTATATGTGTGTCTTGACGGATTAGATTTTTTATTTAAAAAAAAATTATTTTATCTTCGACGTAGTTTCCACCAAATGAACTAATATGTACCACGAGGGTCCTGATTGCGATGTAATGAACGATTTGTTCCATACCAGAGATATCTTTGAAATTCTCTTCCTTGTTATAAGCAACTAGGATGCATTGCAATTGTATCTCGAGCAGTTTCTTTCAAGTCAAAGTATATTCGCTAGCAGTATTCAGACAAGGCAGATACATGCCTCTTCTACATCAAGTCCGCCTCTCGCCGACGAACTGATCCACCTACGAAACGAAATACACGCCTGCGAATCGAACTTTTGCATGTGAATGCGTATCGCTCATTATGTGTTTCTCAGTTATATAATATAGTTATAAAAGTAGACACACAATATAGCTATATAACATGCGTTGGTTTTTCCAGGGTATTTATTAATGTAACTTCTCTCTCTTTTTCTCTCTTTCTCATCTTATTTCACAGCGTAATAAATCTTGCAATATATAGCTTACTATATATAGTAAGTCTGTGTGTTAGACACGGTATGTTACCTTAAATTAAAATGATCAATTTGTTCCATCAGTCTAAAACCTCGAGTGCACAGCTCGTAAAATCTTCGCGCTGTATAATTTGCAAGGATAAACTCACATTGTAATTAATAAATTCAATTCAAGTACAAAATATTGAAAAAAGTATATACACAAGATATAATACGACTTGATCTTGGTTTTGAATGTGTAAGTGGATATATGAGCAATCAATTACCTATGTACCTTTATCTCGTTTGTGCAATTATATTCCAATAAACAAATTCAGTTAATTGAATAATTGACTTTCAAGCTGAATAGATAAATAAATAATAATAATAATCAATGCTCATCTTCAAAGAGTATTTATCTCATTTTTACTATATTTTCTGATAAGAATACAATTTACCATATCTAATTACGTGCAAAAATTTACAATTGTATTGTATACAATTGTATTAACTCAGTTTTATTCGTGATATATCGTCATTTCAAAGCAAAATTATTACGTTCATAACATGAACTCGAGATTCTCTATAATGTATGATCAACTTCACGTGATATACGATTGACATTTCGTGATGTAGATATTCAATCGCATTTAAAATTCACATCTTTTTATCGAAATGCAAAGCTAGAGAGAGCTAATGTCAGTTATAGCCAATATCTTGGACCAAAATAGTAACAAGTGTTTTTGATTCTCTTACATCATCACTGTTATCTAGAAAATGATCAAAACCAAGTAATGACATGCGCAGTGGCGGTATCATATAATGTGTGTGTGTGTGTACATACATATATGTGTACATATATATATATATATATATATATGACAGAGCGTTCGAGGAAACCGTGGCAGCGAGCAAGTAATTTTTAAATTTAAAGCAAATCGAAATAGGTGAATATAGTCAGAAGTGAAACCAAAAAATATAGTACAATGCGCGGAGTAACAACGCGGAATAAAGGGATTGGGAACTTGGTGGAAATAAAGTGAAGAAGGAAAGCAGAGGCAGAGAAGAGAGTAAGAATGAGGGAAAAGAGCAGGAGAGTTATGAAAGAGAAAGAGGGAGAAGGAAGAGAAATGGAGAGAACAAGAAAAGAAAAAGAAACGAGCGGGAATCGAGAAAGAAAGAGTGAGAAAGAAAGGTCGAGAGAGGTAAGGAGGTAGGATCGTAGAGGTAACATCGTAGAGGCTGAGACTTGATTCCAAAGGTAGGAGGACTCGGGTTGTGGCCGAGGCCAGTCCATCGTGAGCCCTCCTCTCGATCGAACACGCTTTACTTTCTGCCCGCTCGTTCAAATCCCCATGTGCACGCGACACGCTGCTCGTTCAACTCTCCGCTAACCGAGTAACCCTCCGACGTGACGACTGTTTTCCGCGTGGAACTCGGTGAATACGTGGTATTATTGGTCGTAGTACTGATGGTTAGTGGTGGTTGTGTTACTGTTGCTGCTGCTGGTAGTGATGGTGGTGGTAGTGGTAGCTAGTAGTCGTGGTGGTGGTAGTTGTGGTGGTAGTGGTGGTGGTGGTAGTGGTGGTGGTGGTGGTGGTGGTGGTGGTGGTGGTGGTGGTGGTGGTTGTGGTAGTGGTGGTGGTGGTGGTAGTAGTGAATGTGGTCGTGGTAGTGGTGGTGGTAGTGATGATGATGATGATGATGATGATGATAATGGTGGTAATAGTGGTAGTGATGATGGTGGTGGTGGTGATGGTAGTATTAATATTAGTAATAATAAGTAATAGTAGTAGAAAGTAAAATATAGTAGTGGTAATCGTTATAGTAGTAGTAATAGTATTAGTAGCAGCAGCAGTGGTAGTAAGTGATGGTGGTGATGTTGGTGGTAGTGTTGTTGATGCCGATGCCTGTAGTGGTGGCGGCAGTTACCTTGAGCATCACAGCACACCTTGCACAGTTACCCTCTGCTCCAGTTCCCGTACAGTCGATGTGCACGCGACACGACACAAACAAGTCGACGATCGTGTTTTACGATAAACTGTGTGATCAACAATTAGCTGAGAGATCACATTTGCATGTTAAAAAGTAAAATTTTTCAATTTATAATTTTATTTCTTAAACATTTTTAGTCATCTTTGCATAATAATAATACTATCTATCATTTCCGAATAAAACATTTATAATATATTGATTTATCATTAACAAAGAAAATAATATTTACTTTTTTTTCTGGACAAACAATATATAACGACATGTCAGAAGACACAACAAAGAAGACGAGAAATGAGTGATAAGTAAAAACAAAATGATGGTTTTCGTGAATGTTAATCTTTATATAGAGAGTAGAAACGTTCACTTATTGGAGTCCGGATTGTATTGTTAATTGCAAAGCAATCAGAAACGACGTTTGCAAGATCTAATTCCAAAGAACATCTCGGTCGATCTAAACTCTAAGAAAACATGCATCGACAAGCAACATGCTGATTTGACAATGCGCGCTTTCTCGCAATGAACAAAGATTGCCAATTAAATAAAACAAAAACTAAATAGTACCGGACAGCGGAAGCGGTGTAAAAGAAGTTCATAGAGAGATATATTCTTCGTGCCGCCGCTTTGTTCACGGCAAAGCGTTCCAAGTCGACAAGAAGTGAATTCAAAAGGACTGACATGACGGAACAATAAGACAGCGAGACAATAAGAACCGGTAGCAGAACTCTTCTTTAGAAGGGTGCTTTTTGAGCGTTGGAATCTTTCGCGGTTGTTCGGACTAGCGGCAAGTAGCAATAGAAAAAGAAGATTAACCACGAAGCAAACGTACACGACGTCTGTCTCGTGATTGTCGGATGATCACCGGTTTTTGCGTGATCTCGCCAGCGTGATCTTTGCCGCCAAGGATCGTTAAGGTCTCAAGCAAGGGTAACTACGATTAGCCGGTTGATAAGTTTCCCGGTATTAAAATCTCGAAGATTTATCGAAGATCTCTTTCGCAATGACAATCGACCGATATTCTCGCGTGAAACTGCGAGAGACCAAATATGGTGCTTAGTTAATTTTTTAATTAATGTCTATTTGCTAACGCGCGAGATTTGCGAGTGATATTAAACTCATTAGAAGATAACCAATCCGCTGTCTTTTCTAGATAAATATATTTATTGAATTAGAAATTCAGTCGGATTTCTACAAATCAAGTCAATTAGACATCATATCTTATTAAGATTAAAATCGATACGTAGATCTTTCTTAAGGTCACATTCCAATGATATCACAATAATTTTCATTTCAAACAGAAATTTGACAATTGTTTGAGTGCGTACCTTTGCAATTGTGTCTGTGACGATCCGTCGATTAAATCGATGAATCGTGAAACTTCTGCAAGTCGAAGTTTAATTATCACCAAGGGAGGTAACTTCCAGTATGTGATACACGACCAAGATATACGATTGAAGAACATGTACGACAGATAAACTAGTCCTGCGACAGCTTAGTCACTGTGAAGAAGAACGTCTCTTAAGAAAGAGATTTGGAAACTGTGAATACACACATACATACGTTACAAGCGGTACAACGCAAAGCGAGAGTGTTCAAACACTTTAGAAAATCCGAATGTTGAGTCTGTAAGTTCGGCCATTTTACATCTGTTTGGTGCGCCTGCAACTTTTATGTCGGCATGAAGTGCTAACAAAAATTCGAGTGATATAGTGATCACAACAAAGAACTTGTTATGACATTGCTCGAGAACATTGTTGAATAAATACGAGGCACAAAGTTTATATGTTCATTCCGACAAACGTAAAAGATTGCGTATTCATCGTGCGGAAACTGCGTATATGACAAATCACTCACGATTCGATCTAACAACGAAACGGGGTCGGTTCCGATTCTGAACGACGAACTTCCGGTGAGTGTTCATCCGTTCTGTCGTCGTTGCTGATCGCGGAAGCGTAAAACTTGATCGCGTGTGCATCCGCTTATTCTACATTCAACAACAACAAGCTGATTGTAATGTGAGAGATGCGTCGCGGTGATATCGCGACAATCGCGATAGCCCTTCTTATTCTTGGGCAAATTCAGGAACCACGACGAACAAGGTGAGAAACAGCTATTTGATGCAAAAGTAAAAATTACATACACAATTGTCTCTCGTGACAACTATACATATATGTATATATGTATATATGTATATTTGTCTATATATATACACACACACACACACACACACACACACACACACACACACACACACAGTATCTAGTATATATATAGTATACCTACTTATAGTTATATATATATATATATATATATAACCTACTTATATATATATATAACCTACTTAAAAAAAAGAATAAATATATAAAATTATATAAGTGTTAATTATAAGTGTTAACACACATTCGCGACCGGTAACGTAGTTCTACGTAGGTCATTTTAAAATCTATTTTCATTTGTTTAATAAGCATATAGTGTAGTATGATAAAGTAATATTTTGTATATGTACACTAATTTAAATAGCAGAACCTTGCGGAATTCAAGTAATGTCTCGCTTTAAAATCGCCGGTCGCGAATGTGTTAATTATGATTGCAAGAAAATTCTTAAAAAATATTTAAATAATTTGATTATTTCAAAACGTCAAAATTTTCGAAGACTGTAATTACGATTAACTATCAAAAATAATCAAAAATAATCGTCAAAATAATGAGCGATTCGGAAGAGAGATTCTTGCGAGGTCGCAATAAGCGTGACTCAGAGCCGTGCTGAAAGTCCGTCACACCTTGTCAAAATCAAATGTTTGCACTGCTTTGGCAATAAAATTCGACAGGCTATATAACTGTAATAAATTTACGCGCGCGACAACATTGCAGTTCTTATGAAAAATAAAAACGTGAATTATTCCGTGGCCAAAACAAAAAACTATTAGCACAAAACAATTAATAATTATTTAATAGTATAGACAAAAAAACTCGTTGTTTATCAATTTATCTTATATATACATAATAATAATATTTTGTTAGGTACTAATGAATATATTAAGTAGAGATGCATATATATTAGAATAAAAATCTCTTGCGTGTGGTTATAAAGAAGGGGCTCACCTAGCAATTAACGGACGCGATTGGAATTTCCGCCGTAACTTAATATTCTGTTACATAAATACTCTAATGATCTAATATGCACAAGAACGGCCATCATTCAGAATTAATTACAAATGTCAAACGAAATGAAACGTTTATATAACGCGGTAACACGATGCGTAACGCGTGATTGCAGACTGACCGAATTTAATGCTATGTATATATGGAGAAATGAGACTGTGCGCAAAGCATGCTCGTTGCATGTTTTACGAGCCGCTTTGCTATCAGGCCGCGTAATGAGCGTGCATTAAAACGGCGATGCGGCAGATCGAGAACGATCGAACTATTACGACGGAAACGAGATTATTTCGTTCGTATTAACTAAACTCATTCCGCACGTTCGACAATAATAAAATCATAACAAATAAAAAAATAGAAAAATTAATTTTAAGTATCACAGTATATAATTACAACAAATGTTACAGCTGCACAATATTTTACAATATTGACCATATAGTCGGTAGCCAATTAAAAACTTGATGACAAAATAATCTAATTTAAGCGGTATATATCGTAGAAGAAACTTTGCATCTCTTAAATATAAAGACATTTAAAATATGTTATTGTGACATGCTCTATCTGGCACAAAATCGTGTCGTCTTGTTAAAAAAATTAACATGTTACTTATAGATCGTCAGAAATTAATGATGCAAGACAGAGTGGCGAACGTTATATAGATATCGCCGCGTGTTGTCATGCGGATATCGCTTCAGAAAATGTAACATGACAGCTTCTTAGCTGATAAAAAAATAATAATCATTTTAAAGCTATACAAGCTTGTGTGTATCAAAGACACGTGCGTATATTGCTTTTAAATAACGTTGGCGTGATGGTTTTCCATATATTAGGTGAGTGCAAAAGTTTTGATAGGTTTCTCAAAGATGCTGCTTCAGTATTTTATGGTAGCATTTACAAATATGTAGATGTATTATATACCGTTAGTAAGATAGTTTTAGCTGCTCATTATACAGAATAAATCGTTTTTAATAAAATTGCTTGATCCATTTTTCTATCACGAACTCCAAGACTTTTGCACTTATCCATTATTATATATTCGAGTTATTATCTCCATTAATTAATTATTCTACATTATTAAAATGGTGCAAGAGTTTTAAATTGCTCCTTGTCCAAAAAGATCACTGCTTGGAGAGTTATTAAAAAGATATTAAAAATCACTCCGATTATATCACAATGCGATGTTAAATTAATCATAACGCATCTTTCTTCTACATACATACATATATACATACATATATACATATATATATATACATATATCGGTATAATATATACATACATATATATACATACATATATACATACATATATCGGTATAATGATGAGTTGTAAGAAGATAATCTTCCACCACAACTGACAATCTCCTCCATCATAATCTATCGTGTAGCTCGAAATCCTATTAATAAAAGTGCGTTCCAGCCTAAACGCGTGATACTTAACGGAACGACGGGTATCATCCTATATTACGATTTCCAAGCGATCGCACACGAGAAGTATCATAATATGCAGGTGTGGAAGGGTTCTCATCGATCACGGAGAGATGTGGCTTCGAACAGGATTCCCCCGTTATCTCGCACGCTTGTTCACGCGCGATAGGGATGGGATCAAGTCAATATACTCGCGAATACGTAATTTAATATCAAAGTCCGCATTCCATAGCTGGAATAAAAAAAATAACAATTTAAGAGAAAGATGATTTTGTTCTTTTTTTTTTTGTCCCCTTCAAGCGATATAAAGCATTAATATGAACCTGGAACCAGTTTGTATCGCTGTTTGAAAACGCTTTACACAGGTTTTCGATTCCATCGCTACTGCGCGAGAACGTAACACTCTGAAACTGTCTGGCTTTTGAAAGAGAGTCTCTCCATACCTCTCGCTCTCTCGAAGACTTTTTGACGTTTACAAATTGCTGTGAAAAGACTCGTACATTGTAAGCACCGGTATACGTTCGTGTCACTTTGTGACGCGGAGATCTCGCGAGCACACGATATATGTACATCGGATCCTCTTGATGCAACAGGCGATTCACACAGCGCGAAGCGAGAACCGCTGGATCGTTTGTCTTCCGGCATGATGACGTGGAAATTGAACGATCACGTTGCAAGCCAGACTGAACCGGAGGGAAGATTCTGGCATCGCAGCTTGGATTTACTATGTTTGTAATGATTGCACGTCATTCGCGATCACGTGACATTTATGTGTATCTATTCGCGCGGAGTGTATCTATTTCGGTGTTTGTCGAAACTTTTAACTATTTAATTTGCCAAATCTTTTTTTTTACTAACCTTTTCTTTTTCTTCAGTTCTTTTAGTGATATTTATTAAATGCATTGAGAGAGAGAGAGAGAGAGAGAGAGAGAGAGAAATACCTTAGTTGTTAATTTAAATAGTAATAGTATTTCCACTTGCTCGATAACACGAAGATATTTGAGTTGGAGTGTGCTATAGACATATCATCAAGTTCTTCACAGATATGCTGATCGATTCTCTCGTGAATTCCTATTCCTTAAGACAATATATGTGCTATGCACAAAAACTGATACAATAGAATATGAACGAAAAATTGCGAGACAAAAATAGCTGGGAGATAGAGACTAAAAAGAGTGAGATAATCGAAAAAATTTTCGACGAAGATCCAATTAAAATAACCAGTAGTCAGGAAACATCGTTCGGCAGAGTAACGAGAACGAAGAGAAGAAAAAGACAAAAGGCAAAAGAAAAAGTCACGGTTATATAAAGGGTTCGTCCTCCGGGAGGTTAGGTAGGCGCAAGGATATACAAAGCGGCATTAAAATATCTCGGTGTGTCTGGCAAAGAGAATCGCGCATTCGATAGCTAACATGAAAAATACCGTCGCATTTGCTAGCGATTGCGTTCATGAGGTAATTGCATTCTTAGAAAAGATCATTTCTAACAAAGCGTTGTCTTTACCACAAATAGTAGCTGCCATCGCGATATTGCCGATGCTTTGTCTTATAGCATTAGGATTTAAAATCAGTTCATCAAATAAATTTGAATCTGTCAAAGAATTTATATTTTATTCCGAAGTGGTTATTACGATAAGAAACTAGCGACGCACGCCGTTAGTAGAATGACATTATCATAATTTATGTCTTTATTAGCTTCATTATTTGTTTTCACAGACATTAATGATACCTCACACGTACATCTGCGATGAATATTTGATTATTGCGTAACTAAATATTATATATAAACGATTGTTTCACACTCGATTGAGTGTCATCTAATCAAGACACACGAGACGATTTCGCGAACAATTACAAATTGTCTACATTATCTAGGAATCAAAGATACTGTTCAAATATAATATAACTGATAAGAATTATGTTCTTTTTTTACTACGCGAGCGCGATTCTGATGAAAAAAAGAGGCGCTTACGAGGGGCGGATTTTTTTATTCTAGATGATACGTTATGAAAAAAAATTTGCCAGCTAGACGAATTTATTTATATTTAAACTCACAAATGTTTATAAATATTCTATAACATTTGAGCAGAAATAAGCAGTATAATTGGTCAAAAGAATAATTACACGTTCTATCTGCATAAAACAAGATTATCAATAGCTGCAAAAACATAAGAAATCATTATATATACAATATTCCGATTAATATATACAAGTAGAGAGCGAGATACAGTGTGAAAATTCCACATGTGAGAGACCCGATGAAAAACTTGATCGGAAGACTATTTTTGTAACATGGAAGGTATCGACTTGTACTCGGCTCTCGATTACAAATTCATAGAAAATTATGCTAATGGTTTTTGAGTGAAATGACTTGGAGGACCGACAGCTTCAGTCCTAGACTCTTCGCACGTCAGGCTCGGCAAAAAAACTATATCGACTAACTTTGATTCGTCGCTCTTCACGCGCATAATTGTGCATGCCAAACAAAAGTGCGAGCAAGAGCATGTTCGCCTG